ACTGCCCTTAGTCGTAGTCACTCATTAGCACTGATAGTAAACATATATCCATAGTGACGCGAACAGTACATCACCTGGAGTCTGCCCTAAAAAATTTTCTCGCTGCGTTAGCAGATGTCAACCATTTTGGATTTGAGAAGCTCCAAACCCGAGAAGTTTGTTTTTCCACTGCTCAGATTATTGGTGATTTACAACTTTGTTGAATCCACCATTCTTCCCTCTCCGTTGACCTTCGGAAGTCGCAAATCCCAATATGCCTGAACTGTCGATTCACCTCTACGACAATTTTCAACAGCGGCGCGGACGAGGACGGCGTGTTGTTGACGTTACAGCAGCGGAGGGCGCGCGAACTATAAATGGCCACACTAACGATTCATGAACCAACCCACTTCAAGCACTTACCATCACCCAACCTCACCGTGGAGTGAAGGTTAATGAGACTGTAATTACTTGTTGTAATCACTTCAACCCTATGGTGCACCCCTGCCGCAGGTTTCACACATGAAGACATCAATGCCCCTGATCGCCTGTATAACAACTAGTCCGATTGTCCGTCGAGATTCTCGGGCCTCAATAACGTTTCAATTCGTTCCTGTTGCCTGCCAGAGTGCACCAGTGGACCCTCTTCGCTCGAGGAAACCGAAGTTCTTCATTTTTTTCGTTCAGAGCTTTCCTGAAGAGGTCGTAGCGTTAAGAAACTGAAGCGCTTAGGTTCGTTTGGCGTCCCGATGGATCCGGTCGATAACTGCTCTGGCTCAGCTATCACGAAATCGCAAGACGTATCTGGCCCATCTGATTTTTGAGTTTTTCTCGAAAACGAAGGGTGCTCAATTTTTGGTCGCTACAAAGTGGAAAGCGGCGGATTCCGTTGGCACTTGTGGGTGAGGAAAAAATCGTCGTCCTCTCCAACCGCGTTGAGCAACGCTGACTGGGCACGTCTCACCTGCGCAGAGTTCAGGCTTCTGATGTCTTCGTACTGCTAACTACTGTCTCGATTTTCCTGTGTGTCACTTCCTTCTCACTTCTAGAGCTGAGTTCTTCATCACCTCGATTTTTCAGCTTGGTGCACGTACGTGAGCGAACGGAAGTTGCTGGGATTTTGCCATTCACGATAGTGCAGACGGGGATTCGCAGTTTCCCACTTTGTCAGCGATCAGAAATCAAGGAGGCTATCGCTTCCGACAAACTCGAAGGTCAAGTAGAGCATTTTTGTACTCCGTGCTCAAATCCATTTTCCGAGATGTTTATTCCGTTGAGCCCAAATGGGCATCAGGGATCGGTCCATGCCTCATGAACATCTCTTCGTGAGGTTCGACTGCAAGCGACCTTTCCACTTGCGCTGTCCAAATTAGCCCTTCGCTCCATTTGCTCGATGCTCTGTGTTATGAGAGCGGCGTCGTCAGCAAAGCGGCGGTGGTGTAGGTGTCTTCTGAATCCTATCTTCCCATTCCCTGTCGCATGACGTTCTTCAAAGCGACGCGGAAAAGTTTGAACGCGATGGTTCCGCTTTGTAGGACTTCTCCCCTCACGCTTAAGATGGAACGAGCGATGCGCAATGTTACGTTAATGCATAAAGTTCCTGTTCGTGAAATTCGAAGGCGAACCGGCGTCAAAGATGTGATTGAGACTATTCAAAGAAGTGATGGGCAGGAAATGTAACTCGTCTCGGCCATAACCGTTGGCCAGCCCGAATGACCGATTGGTATCCTCGTGGAATAAAAAGGCCGCAAGGTAGACACCCAGCCAGGTGGAGTGATCTTTTAAGAAACTTTTTGGACAGAGATGGCAACAAATGGTAAGAAAGCGAAACGAATGGCATGGATGCGTCCTGCTAGGTTGGCGAAATCACCCTTGAAGAGCGGACATCAAGGTATTCAAGGTGTTGACGAGTTTACGCACACCCTTAACGCCTCGACGTTCCATGTTCTAAGGAATGGCATGGCGTCGTACTTGAAGTTCCACGCCTGTATGACCAGGTCCTCGATATGAGCTCTCGATACAAGCGTCTGTGCATTTGAAGTGCAGGCCGCCGTCGTCCTAATCCGTTTCCTTTTTGACAGTCTGTTTTGACTCTGAACTCTTACCAGAATAACCCGAGCAGTCCTATCCAACGCGGGAGTGGATTGGAATTGCTCAAAGCTTACTAGGCTCACTCTCGGAGTCGGATAGAACCCAGGAAGCTATCCATGCTCTGACGAAGCCAGCAAATGAGCTTCATTTTGGAGGCAACTCCAGCCCGATTTTGTTTATACTCCCGGAAAAATCCTTATTCTCCAGCGCGCGGATGACATCTATGAACTGTACAATCATTGCCCCGACAGTACGATATGTACGCAGTTGTGCCACATAAGCACAATCGTAATGGCACCTTTAACTGGAGAACGCTGTTTCAGGACACATGGCGGACTTCGTTAACCCTTAAAGGAATCTTGCGTGGAAACATCATGATTCTATTTCAGCCATAAATCACTGGCTTGAGACTCATTATCCACGATAATAGTGAAAAGAACTGAAGTATTGCTTTCGTTTTGATTAGAAATTCGAAAACTCGGAAAGGCTGCTACGCGTTCGAATTGCCCACGGACGTCTTTCACGAAATCTGCGACGGGGATGCTCAAACTTGGTCCTTGGAGTGCATTCACTAGAAGCTCCTTCTGCTTCGTTGCATTCACATCTTACACTTCTACTCCATCCTATTCCATCGATCGATTTGTCTCCACTCTCCGAAATCGCGCGCTTTAACCCGATTCTCTCATTGCGTCGCCTGGTACGTAGCCGGCCAAACGCCGTCTTCTTTCCATGCCTCGCCTGGCTCTGCCTCCTGGTCCTTCGATGGTCCATAACGTGTAGTTTTTGTACGTTGTTTCTCTTCAGAAACCGAATCTTCATGCGTGAAACTTTGTGTGCTATTTCCAGTGATCACAACTGACATATTCATGTTAGGAAAGAGTGCAAGAATTTTCCGCGCAAGATTCCTTCAACGACAACATCGAGACCTACGTAACGCCGGGTGTCGCGTGGTGTCGCTCAGTGTTTGGACACTAAATTTTCGTCGTCCTCGCAATTTAAAAATTTTCAAGGATTTAATATTTATCTCAATATCTTCGTTTACATGTTTTCCAGAAATGTTTGAAAAGACTGAATGATATAAAACTTTGGAATATGGCGTTTGTTTCAGCGACGTATTCATCGGAGCTTTAAATAATTAGATCACAGATTGGTTTGTGATCAGCGCCTATTCGACTTGTTTTAGTTCTTATACGCAGGTATTGACTTTGGCTTGATTTGATCAAATATTCCATTTATGCACAACTTCTGTAATTCTCATCTCAAACTGCAATTACATACAGTACGGTTGGTGTGGTTTTACAACAGCTACGTGAAAATTCGCATTGTCGTCAAAAGGTCAGTAAGGATGTTGATCGTTAGGTAATCGGCAACAGCCCTCTGATCAAGAAGCAACGGGCAGCTTCACTCCACTGAAATGAGGATCCTATGCGGCTGGACAGAGTCAAACAAGGACGTGAAAGCGATCATGCATACTGCTCCGGTGCAGGAACAGCGTCCGCAAAGGCATAAACGTGCTCAAAAGGCCATAGGATCACCCGATACGGAAAGATGTGAACTTTGAAACGCAAGGCAAGCGACCGAGAAAAGCTCCAAAGAAAGTGGAGAGACGTAATCAAGAAGGACCTAAACGATGTGACGATCATGGCACAATGTGCTCTAGACAGTACAAAATGGCGACGGCTGATAAAGACTCTGCGATTGCGCGGAACTAACGCTAGGGAGAAGAAGAAGATTGATAGGTAATCGGCAATAAACACAAAATTCCGGTTATAATTCTTAGCAAATTCTGTGAACATAAGAAAAAGCCGACACATTCATAATGATACCATATGAATCATTCCGAGTTCATCTTTCATTTCGTCACACAATCTTTTCAGTGTAGTTAATTATTTGCAAATGCCTTTTGTGAAAGATACGAAACAGTGTACAAGCAATTCAGGTACTTCATAAAGAGAAAAAAGCGTTTGTATAGTGAAAAGGGGCATTTGGTGCAATGCCGCCTACAGTAATCCCGATTTTCGCGAAAAGAAACGATGTTCAGTATGGTCTCCTAGGTTCCACCGTAAGCGCGTTCGCCGTGGAGCGCGCAGTACCATCACGTTATCGGATTGTTTTCGTTGTTTCCTCTGTGCACTCCACGACGAAAGCCACGGAGAATGTGGTCGTCAACTGTACGAAGCGCCTTCGCTGTCGAAAGTAGAGTATATCAAGGCGACGGTTCTGGCATGGGGAAGTGCAGCCTCAGGTGGAGACCTGCTCCCCTGTGAGACAGTGTACGCCTCGTAGCGCAAGCGGCAAGGTGAACGCTTGCGCTTGCGCGACGAGGCGCTGGAGGATTTTTGGAGGGCTGCCTCCGGGTGGTCGTGGGAAAAAGTGCTATGTTGCTCCAGGCTCAGTTCCGATCAAGGGGCCCGGTGTACACGCACGCCCGTCCGATTGCGCGCTCCAGTGCACAAAAGCGAGCCCTAGTGCGACGTGGTTACTGTGGAACCTGGGAAACCATACTGATAAATCGTTTTTGTTTTACGCGGTGCTAAAAAGTCTCCGGGTGCGCAAACGATTTCTCTTTTGTTTCCCACAAACCTTGGAACTCCCCTGCACAAAGAAACCAGGATTACTCTTGGCGACACCAACTATCGCACCAAGTGTTCACTCATTCGGTACATGGGCTCAAGAAAAAAATATAGATTTGATAAACGGCTGGAAGTCATGGTAATCTCCATCTGACATCCTTCTTTTATCAATTTTTTATTCACCACTGAGCACCGTCTTTGTTGGGCAAGCGTCAGACTTTGCAAACCGGCGATTCGGCACTGGCGATTTCGAAAAGTCGCTACTACCGAATGAATATAGAATATCACTGAATATACAAAGTCGGACACCGCCCTGGGTGGCGTTCAACGTCAGAGAAAAAAAAAGCTACATGCATACCTGGAAACAGCAAGTATGCCTTGTACTCTGAATGTTCCTTCGTTTAGACATACGAACCCTCCTGCATTTTCGATTCTCCTTCGCTCATTAGGCTGAAAAGTTTCAGCCCTTGTAAGAGTAACAAACAACACTTCATAGCAGCGGTGAGCTTTTCGTCTGGCAGAGCCGGTATAGAGATTGTAACATAAACTCCTATGCGAATGGATGGAGAAGTTGTGCAAAAGCGATAGATAATGCAGTAATCAAATTCCGTTCAATCGTTCGTAATCAAAGGCCGATGTCAGACTTTGCGATCGCGCGATTCGCTACTAACGATTCGCGCGGTTCGCTAGCGCCCGCGGTAGCGTTGCGGTACCAGCCAATTGAGTGATTCGCTGGCCGCGACGCGACCGCAGACGCTAGCGAATCGCGCGATTCGCAAAGTCTGACATCACCCCAAAGAAGGCAAGCCATCAAATGTGGCAGAAGCCGCCTAATTCTCAACTCATATTTTGTTTGAGAAAAAAACACAAATTAACTTACGTCATCCGGTTTATGGTCTTTACTCAGTGCAACTAATCGGTTTTCTGAATCGCAAGCAACGGCTCGGGAGTCGCCCACATTCACAACACTCAGGTAACGATTACCTTCCATTATTGCTGCTATCATTGTCGAGCCTGAAATGTTTGAAGCAATAATCACTTCTTAATCTGTTCCTATTTGTGTACTGCGCCTATCCCGCATCTTTTCCTTAAAGGTCCACTTTTCTTTGTTCGACTTTTCAATAGTTCCATTGAAGCTGGGACTTTATGCCGCAGCATCCCTGGCGTAATGTTTAGGAGGGAGGGGGGGGGAGGGCAAAAGAAAGAGTCATTCATCGTTCGTATTCAAAAAACAATTACACTGTGCTTAGTCAAACTGAATGCACCCAACTGTGCATGGGAAAACACACTCCGATCACCGAAACTTCGTAGAAGCCTTCTACATTGATGGCATCAGAAAATTTTCCCATGGGAACATGAAGCACGGTTCAAACCCATCGAGGCCCTCGAAACGTCAAACGTCCGTTGAGCAAAGTCCAACGCGACGACGAGAGTAATGCCGAGAGTGAACGTACGCACGGAGACACAGACGGCTCGCGGGTGGCGAGAGTGAATGCCGGCGCGAAGAGCGGTGAACATCGGTCCAACGTCGCTCCAATATCGGTCCAACGTAGCGGTTGACCCTGCCTCAAAACATCGTGGGCCATCACGACCTCATCTTAGACGCTGCTGGGAAATGGTCTTGCAGGTCAATGCAAGTAATTCTAGAATGCTGTCCCTCAATCCCATGTGAAAAAATTATGTAACAGCTTCAGACTGGAGCTATTATGGCAGAGCTTCCTTGAACTAGGCTGTGAAGGCGGATACCATCATATTCTTAAGATGGTAGAAGCAGCGAACGAGAGTCTGCTTTTCTTATCAGGGAGCATCTAAGGATTATTCGCTTTCAAGAATGGCACCCTACGTGGCGAAAAGATTGATGTAGTGCACCACGGGCAAGGTGTCTCCTTTTTTGACTACCCCTGTATCAGCAGTTTCTGAGCCTGAGAGCACCTGGAACCGGTGAACTGTTAACAAAACAAATAAAAAAACTGATCAGTGTAGAAGCAGCAAAAAGTGCAGGGTGTTTTAGTGCGTGCTGTAATGAAAGAGGTAGGGATGTGCTTTCGGAAACGAGTTCCAACCACTCATGCCCGAGAGCCATGTCTATGCGTTCTTATATTACATCTGAGCATGTAAGGAAATCGTTTCACACAAGTGAGAGAAGGTATAGGGACCTACAAGGGGAGCGCATGTTTTTTACTAACACATTGGTGGCCAACGCGTATCACGTTGGTATGGTGTTAGACACCAAACCTTTCGAACATTATTTCAAAGATTACTCATCTTTTAGTAGCTTTATTAATTTACTGAACACATGGCTGGTCAACAACCCCGTTCATCAAACTTATGACACACAAATGTACACAACCAGTACATATCAAAATAATCAAACAGTATAGACATGATGACGTATGATACAATGATTTCGGGGGGTTGATAGCGCAATTTTCACCTTTTCGGAACCATTTGGTGTTCAAAAAACTTCGCATCGACACATTCATGACTTCTTCATCTTCCTCTTCTTCACTTCTTGCCCTGATTAAGGAACAAAATTTTCCCTTCGCAAAAAAAATTCCAGCCCACATCTATATCAGTAGGTATCAGTAGGCAGCGTTATCCGGTCGACAGCGGATCACTGGGATCATGGACAGGGTGAAAATCGCTCGAAGAAAAGAAAACGGCTCGTCGAGCGTTCCTTCACGCTCTCCCACGCGGATGCTCACTCTCGCCAGCTGCGAGCCGTCTGTGCTCTCCACGCACTCATTCACTCTCGACACTACTTTCGCACGGTAGAGAGCCATGGTCGAGGAATTCCTCGACCATTATTCACCCTGATCACGAACCATTTTGACCTCTGAATTGCGAGGAATCTTAGAAAAACGAGTCTACGGTCACTAAAAAGGTGATCACCGGTGATCCGATTGAGGAAACTCAGCTGCCTCGGGCTGATGCAATTACGTCGGACCTCATTCTTTTGCTCATAGATAGCTTCACAAATGGATGGGGTTAAGGACACAAAGCAAATGCATTTCTCATGTCATCAAGGATTTATAGTGAATGCGATATGCTCATATATCCATTTAGGACTACAAAGCAGCAACGACTCCTCGACAAGATTTTACCAGCCACACGCCACCTTCAACGGCATGACAACTTCGTGTTGTAGAGGACTGCATGACGGTTTATGATGCTTAAGATCGCTCAGCTATAGGGGATTGAAGAAGGTGGGAAACGGAGGAGGGCGGAAGATTCCTGTTCACCACCTACCAGCTCCACCTATTACCCAAAAGGCCTTTGTTCGAAAATGTATATCGCTGGACCCAAAGTTCGTTTCATGACCATCTCACAGAATCTTCTGAAGTCGTTCTCGTGAAAAGTTAATATGGGGAACGAGCTTATTTTGAATTCGGCCTTGAAAAGTACTGGTAGGTAACTTTAGCTGAAATCAGCACAGTATGAAGATTCCACCTATAGAAAAGCGAGAAAAAGTGCAGGAAAACCTATCAAGGAACAGACTGCATCTATAGGGAACGATCCTCTCTCCACAATGGAACTCTGCTGACAATATCATTTACCCTTAAAAATTTTATGCCCAAAATATGCGTTGCATTGTGAACAATTTGGACTGCTAATGCGACTAGTGAGTATTCGACATTAGTGCTGGAGTCTCTGTGTTAAAGGCTGTGATCACTATGGGAGGGCGGCGCGGTTTTGATGACGTCATTGGGAGAGGGACTTTGAGAGGCAATCCCAACAACATCTTCAGCGCGTTTAAAGGTCTAATCCTACCAAGACGCTCGATGGCGTAATCAAAATCTCGTTGCCCTTCATTCAAAGTGATCATTCACTTTGAATGAAGGGCAACGGGATTTAATTATTTAATTTAGCCAACCTGTGAGTGATGTGCAATCCGGATTGAACCGAGAAATAGTGTCATCCAATCGATGTATCTCGGTAATAATCATCTGAAAATATTCAATTCCTTCAACATGCAAACTCGTTCCTCTTAGAGAAAATAAGCCTTTCAGAGTTAAAGGAAAGCGCAAAATCGGAAATAGAGAAATTTAATTGGTTCTCGCTCACTTCTTCAACAGAGTCATTCAATTCCAGCGCCCCCTCAGCGCCATGTTTCCATCGTGCTCCATGCTTCACCAAACGGTCGCGAATCGATTTTGCAAAATTCGATTCCAGGAAGTCGGATACGTACTGTAAACGAAACGATTTTATTTTCTCAGTATTTACTCAATCTGAGGTTCAACTACAGTTTATGCCTATTGCTAAACATTTATAAAGAAAGTCGTGTATTTATATCACATGGTTTCGGTATAGCACTTTACCCAGACGCTTTAAATCCTCAAGATCAACTAAGGATTGGACGACTAGTTCCCTGCAAACTCTTTTAGAGGGAGCTTGGCCCCGACTGGCGACTAAAAGATGGGAGATGTTCAGTTCTCCTCCGAACAATGAAGCCTAAGTTGAACTTGGGCTTATGCTGAGACTTAGATTATGCATTGGTTTGTGCTTGAGCCTATGATTGAGCCTAAGCTTTGTCCTGAGCTTGCTTCAAGTGAATGACTGGTGTCTAAATTATAGGTGACTTGGAGAGGAGAACTGCAGCGCACCCCTGAAAGATGCTTGCGGTACGGGATGACGGGTACCCGATAGGAGGCCCATCGCGCGGCTACAAGGCAGAGTCAGTGGACGAGTCGCAGCGCGTTCTGAACTGATCTCGTGTCAAAACACAAAGAATATACCACTGTACGTCCTACATCGCGGGCTATGACCCGTCCGCTGACATTGTCTTCCTGCCGCGCGACGGGCCTCCTGTCGGGTACCCACGGGATGACCTCCGAGCGGGGTGAAGCGCGCGTTCTGTGGATTTCGAAACTTCCACAATCATCCCCCCCCTTACCCCCTCGCCTCTTCAAGAGATGTCGACACAACTCGTACCATTAGCCGCAACCTTGGACGTCTCATTAAACTACATCCATCACCACCCCTCACCACCATGGTTGTTTCTATTGTATTCGACTTTTAGACCACTCCAACCTCATCTCAAAAAACTTCCTTTAGTGCTGCAGAGGTGTAAGGGAAGGGAAAGCTAGAATTTGTATGATTTTCGAGAAAAAAACACTTGAATCACCCAGTTGAAAATTCCCTAAGCGGGGAGCTTTTACACGGAGTTTTACGGGTAATTTGAAAGCACAATGAAATTTTCTATGATAGCCAGTGCAGAACAACAAGTTCAGAGAAAATATGACCGTTGGAATGTGAACGCTTGCTTGTGCACGAACAACAGCAAACACTCAATTTCTTGATATAGTTAACGTTCACAATGGTTTTAGTACAGTTATAGTTGAGTTATGAAAATTTGATTTCTTTGAGTCTGTTTTGGCGCTTTTTCAAAGCTACATGTGAGGAACGTTATGAACTTTGACAGTTCCCCTAAAATCCAACAGCAGGGAAAAAATCATAGGGAACAATCTTGATGATTTCCTGATGTGAAAAGTCTAGCCGATTCTAGATCCCTGAAACTTTGGAATTGGACAACTTTGAAGGCGGCCATTTCGTATGAATGATGATGGCTTATCCCCACTGTCTCTTCCAATGACAAATGATCGTTTAAACCACATTGTGTCCCTTTTCCATAGGAAGGAGGGGAAGTGGGGCCACTTGTCACTACACCTCCTCCACCCCTAAGAGAAAGGGACATTATATGGTTGAAATGAAAACAATTTTATTGTTTCAGGTGTCTGATCATCTCGCAGGCGGTGTTTTTCTTTCTCTACAAAAGTAATGAGGCTGCAACTGACTGAAGTGCTCCTCAGCAGGAACCAAAAAAAATAAAGGCACCAGTCGGAATCGAACTGGTGTGTTATTTTGTTCAAAAATTGGACAGAACGTGTGGAGGAGAACTTCAGTGGGAAAAAGTTACAAAAAACACCTTGAAAACACTGAATTTTTCCTTGCGAGATTGGCCGTGGTTTGACTGAGAGGCACAGCCTTCTGAGGAGAGGGAAAACGCGAGAGAGCACGCGAACTCGAGAGAGCGCGAACGCCACGAATGCCGCAATTGATAAAAATCCAGCACGATAGCACACAAGCGGAGGCTTCAGCGCTGTTGCCTCGCACTTTTGAGTGGCGACGGTGTGCCTCCTGGGCATGGGGACCCCTCTTTCTTCCTCTAGGAGGTACTGCCTCGAGACTCGTTTCCGTCTCGTGGTTCCAACTCTTAATGCATCTGGCGCAATTCCCCACATGTATGTATACACAGCTCTGTGGATAATAAACTATCTTCCCGCGACAAAATGTCCATAAAATCGATGGCGCCCCCTGTACCACGCGGTACGCAAAAATGTGAAATAAGTCCCTACAGACGGCCACTCAATTCAGAATGATGCTGATAACAGTAAGCGAAGTAGGGTAGGTGTTAATGCACAAGCTGCGACCTTAGCCTATTCAAAAAATTACTTCTAAACGGAAAAGACAAAACGTTGCCAGAACTTAGCTTGAGCTTACCAGGCCTCCATGACCATCGAACATTCCAAATATGGAGAGATTATTATTCGGATCATGCATATAGTGCATCCTGTCTTCCATATATGGTCGGTAACCCTGTGTCGCACAGTACGAGAAGAACTTGTGCTTCATTTTCCAAAACTGCTCTGTAAATGAAGAATCTGTTGTGTTGACAATTTTACCATGTTTATGGAGCGTGTGGTCCTAACCTCTGGAATGAATTTTTTAACAGTCAAAATTATTGTGTAAATTGAGCGTCTTGTAGAAACCTTATCTGATTCAACAACAAGGCAATACTCACCTACTCATTTCAACCCATTGACAACAGCGTGGCCTGCCTGCGGGCTACAATTTCAAGCGGACGAGACCGTTTTGCCTAATTTATTTGTTTTTCGTGTTCTTGAGCAGCCCGTCAGGTGCAATGCAAGTGGGATGGGTACGCCAACTTTTTGAATAAGTGGAACGTATGTGCGTGGGAGGTGAGCAAACCAGCCCTTCCGGCGTTTTGGCTGGGACCGTATGCCGAATCAAGGGGAGGGGATGGGGTTTCCAACGGTCGACGGTTTACTTCAACTCGGTTGGTACTTGACTTGGATAAGAGAGTACTGACGCATGTGGTGCAGCTGGTCCAGCAGCTCCGCCAGAAGGAGTGGTTTTCTCACCCCAGGACTAAGCCTTGGAGAGGGGACGGACCGACGGACCCGTCCTCTCTTTAAGGCTGAGTTCTGAGGTGAGCACTAAATTGTGGCGGTTCTAAGGACCGAGTTGAAGTGGTCCGTCCACCATCGGGGACTCCATCCCCTCCCCAACATTCAGCATACGGTCCCAGCCGAAACGCCAAAAGGGCTGGTTTGCTTACATACGTCTGTGCGTGGGGACTGCTGCCGCTCCTATGGTGTCCATGAGAATAGGGGAATTCGTAAGCCAGGGAGAGTGTACCAGTTCAAGGAAGGGGGAGGCTGAGGGCAGTCCCCTGGCATATGTGAAAAGCAGGAATGTGTGAGTTACTTCCATAGCGTCTCGTTACGTCATAGCAGTGGGCGCCATTTCCATTACATATATTTCGCATTACCGTATTCGAATAATCGGCGTGTTTATCAAATTAGCATTGAGCCACCTGTCAACACTATCAGGTTAGAAAAATGTTTACATTACTAAGCATAAAATTTTTGAAGAAGAAACGACTGGTGACACAATGCACCCACAACGGCGGTCGTCATAGGTTAATCAATAGGTTAATGCGTGCACAAGCATTTGTATAGTCAAAAACTGACCTATGACCCTATGCGTATGACCACTGTTGAAAGACTAATGCAGGCTCTGGATCGCAGGTGCCACTTTTCCGTCTCATACTTTCGGAGGAATTGAGTACAAGCACCTTAAGAATTAGTTGCGCAAGCGCAAGAAAGGGATGAAGGATGGGACGCGTTACCGCGTCACAATGTCCCACGAGATGTACAAAATGGGACGCGTCATCGCGTCACGCTGTCGTCAACGTGTTAGACTTATTTTTTTATGCTTTATATTTTTTCTAGGATGGCGTTTTTTGAAGCAGCATATATTTGTAGCAGCAGCTCAGGCTCGAAGCGAAGATGTCAAGCAACATTCGAGGGGAATTTACTTCCGCAAAGCGATCTTCAACCCGGAAGTGATGCAGCCCAGACAGCTCGGAACATGAAGTGTAAGGCCAAGCAGGTGCCAACGAAAGCAAAGCCGGGTACTGGTGTCAAAAACTGCTGCACTGAACTTAATTATGGGGGTGAGAAACATTGAGGACATTTTTCCACTGGTGGCGAAGACGTGTGAAGGCCTACCTTCCAAAAAAACTGTCTGACAGCTAAAAAGGTTATTATTCACAAAATCCTGTAGAGTTAGTGGAAAGCGAAAAATATATAGAGCTGGAAAGTCTTCGGCAATTTAAGGGCCAATAAAAATAAAGATTTCTGGTCCGGTTTGTTATATGACGTGCTCATAGTCGCTTGCCATTTTTTAGTGAAGCCTTTTTTCAGTTTTCGAAGTCACTGTCTCGCTCTTGTGAGAAGTTCCAAGCCGAAATCTCAAATCTTCTAAGCTTACCTTTTGTAGAATGAGGAAATTTCGAAATATTTCCACTCAGTGAATTCCGCAACAATTAGAATGGATGATGGTGTAAGTACGATGGCAAGATTAGGCGACGGATTTGGAAACAGGGTCAACCCTACGTTGTTACCAGTAACAACGGGGAGGGGGGGTCGTACCTGGTCTTGCTTGTAGGGGTGGGGTCGAACCCGCTTCAGACGCTCGAAATCACATGTTAGTTTGAGGTGAAAGTGAAGTTTTCATGGGTAGTAGGCCGGGTGAGTTGGACGCGTAGGAAAAAAAATTGCCATTTCAGCGGGCGTACATACCCCCGCTCGACGGCGTTTTCGGAGGGAAAAGTGGGCGGAGTTTGGTGGGTTGACTGGTATTTGACTGGTATCAGTGGTAAATAATATAGAGATGATGATGATGGTCGAGGTGTGGAAAAGGGGGTCGTATCAAATCCACCTTGGGAAGGTGGGTCTTAAAAAATTTTCAAAAAGTCACAACGATAGAGTCGACCCTGTCTGGAAAGGCCTCCGAACCATATCCGAAAGACTTTCTCGAAGGGCCAAAACATTGTGTGGTGCAAATCCTTCACCGTTTTTTTAGGTTGGAATGAAAATTTT